TCCTCCACCATTCCCAAGTCAAGGGTTGTATATACTGACCCAATAGCATATCTTGAAAACTAGAGCCAATCAACAATTTTAAGCATAATTTTCGTTCTCAGTGACCCAGAATTAGTAAAGTTTGACGACATTTATTTCAGAAGCATTTTGGCTGTAGAGCAGTGTTTATCAAATAATGCCTGTTCAGCTACAAACTTTTATGGGAGTATCCCCAATATGTGGGGGTAATAACTAGTATTTCTTTGCTTGTTATGCTGAAATTTACCAACTAAATACCATGGACAAAAGCAACTAAATGTAAATGTTGAATGATTGAAAGTTTTGTACTCTTATCCAGGGCTGTACTGCATGTGAACTGTATGTTATTTCATTGTTTTAAATAGTTTTGTACATCCCTTGCTAATTATTCTGTGGTTTCTTTAATTAACCTTTGTAGATAATGAAACACTTTTTAAACTTTTTTTAATTTGATTTTCATTCAATATAAACACCTTATATCACGATTTAAAGAAACTTAATGTTGGGGTAACTGCAATGTCTTTCAGCATGGTAACCACGAAATGAAGTCCCTCTCACCAAAGGACACTTCTAACCTTTGTTTGGAAAGTGATATATTCCTGTAGTCCTTAATTTCAAATGGAGCATAGAATTAAATGTCAAAAATTATGTTAATACAAAGGTCATAATGAAAATTGAAGCTTCTGAATATCTTTAACTTCGTAAATTTTTAGTTGTCACAACGCTGTTAACTAGGCTTCATGACACATCTATAATGTGAATTACTAATGTTCCTGTTTAAATGTATAACTTTATGTATAAATCCAGTGTAGACAAGCTGGTGTTACTTAAGAAGCTTCATTTTTTAGTTTTCACCTGTTTTCACTCAATGCTATATAAAGAATGAGAACTTAAAATAATGTGTTGCATTCAATTTTCCTGGTTTTTAATTTCTTTTAAAATGGGAAAGTACAAAGCAAAACATAGGTTTGTGCTGTCTGGAACTGATGGCTATTTGGAACCTGGGAATTTTTTGACTTCTGGAAGGAAGGTTGAGGCTCATAATTAGAAGGGAACTAGTAGGATTTGCAAACTAGGGGTAGCAAAGTGGGTCAAAGTAGTTGATTTTCTCTAAGTAGTTAATCCTGATGAACCAGGATTGCTTGAACTATCTTTTGGTAGGTGAGGGGGGATTCCAGAAGGCTAGCCCCATGAAAATAATGTCAATGTGCAAACTTCAACATATATGGCCCTATATATTTATATGGCAGTAGAATTCCATATATGCTTATGGTCCATACATCATATTAATTCATCCCTAATTTCTTTTAAAATGTTTATTTAAAAAATAAACATACAGAGTGACTGAGGACTACATAAATGTCAAGAACAAAGGAGTATGACAAAGGAACTTTGGAATTGTCTGAGAAGAAAAAAATCTTATAAGTTATTATTTTTTAAACTTACAGTATATTGTTTCACACTCATATTTAAAGATGACCAAATGTATTTTTTTCAGATTTAAAACAAAAAACACCTCTCTTCCCCCCAACACACATATTTGGCTTGAGACCAAACATTCAGTCGAGAAGAGAATTTCTGGCTGCAATTATGATTAGAAACTAGGGTAGAATGGAATACCCACCCCGACATTCACTATAGGATTGCTACCATGTTGCTATAATAATTACATTTTGGCTGAAGTAACTAATTTATAAAAATTGCAAAGCATCTAGCAAGTCAGAGAACTTTCCAGGATTGTTTTACATAATTTAAAACAATGCCTCTCCTAGTTGCCAGCAAACTTCTTTCCTGATTCTCTTCTCTCCTGGCTCCACTCCTAGCCATGCCATGGCTCATCTCCAGACCTGCCAAGTTTCCGCCAGAAGCTGGTGGGAGATTTGTATAGGGTTGAAAGAAGATTTGGAGCTCTGTTAAATTTTCAAGCCCAGATGGGGCAACGTGATTTGTGTGTTTTATGTCAGCATGCCATACATCACAACAATCTGTGTGCTGACATAAGCGTTGATTGGAAATTAATATGCTGAACTTTGAAAACTGGAAAATATGTGATATAAACAGATCTCTGTCAACAATGCCATAGAAAGAAACATGTTCGTGTTATGACAGTTCTATGCATAAAATGTATTCATCCCCAAACCAGAAGAATGTTTTGGTATATTTTAAAACAAAGCCAACTTGAACATTAAAGCCCCACTCCAGGAAAGCAAACCTATTCAAGACAGCACTTGAGAATGAACTTAACTTTAAGCATTTTCTTAAATCCCATTGAAGCCAATTGGACTTAACTATCTACTTAAAGTTAAACATGCTTAAGTGCTGTCCTAAGTAAGAATGGACTTAAACATGTACTTAAATGGTCTCCCGAATCAATTCCAAAATGAGTGGCTGTTATTTTTATAATTTCTATTTCTTTGCATGTTGTGGTCATCTTGATGATGCCTGAGCATCTTCTGTACCTAAAATAGCTTACCACACCATTTATAACATACAGTTTACCAAAATTTGCATGTAATGGCCTTTAATAACTGTTTTTAAGTATAGTATGATTACGAGTTTATTTCTTGCTTTACTATTAGTTTAGTTTGTATTTGTTAATATCTATTTGGTATTTTTGTGCAGCTTGGTAATATACCGGTAATAAAAATAATATTCATAGCCTGCCAAAGAACCTGGTTTAGACAAAATTCTAGAATTTCCAGTGTCTGGATGCTCAGAGCTCACTGGTCACTATACTTCTACAATTGCTTTTTCTAATTGTCCTGTAGATTAGCACTAGCAAGAGCCTCTGAAATATGGGGTTAATGTATATCATTATTGCTGGCCAGGTAGTAGTGGAGTGGAAAAATGTTCACAAGTTCAGCTTTAATTTTGTGGTAGTATATGTCATTAGGGTGTGATGTAATAATGGTGTGCGTAAGAGATGCAGTCAAACTTCATTACCATAGTCCAAATGATCGCTTAGAATTTCCTTTCTAACCAGTAAGACCGAGTACAACAGCAAATTACCCTTCACCATGAAATGACTTCACAGAGGTCTGGCTCCATGTGAAAACAGGCTATGTTGGCCCCTACACAAGTGGTGGCTTTGAAAGGTCAGCAATCCACAGGATTGAATTATGTCAGGTACATGGGGAGGGGCATTATGGGATTGGTGATCTTAGTCTTGCTGCCCCGAGCAGATTGGCCGGAGTGGAGCAGAAGCAGGTTATTTTGGGGGTTGATGTAAAAGTGGTTTTCAGACACTTTCCTACCAACATTAAGAAGAAACATTCACCTTCCCCATGTGTTTTGCAGGTGTCTCAATTGTCAAGTAGAAGGCTAGTATGTTGTTAAATATGGTATTTTGAGGGATATTGGGTTTTATATTTTATATTTTTTTTAATTAAAAGTCCTATACATTGCAGTGTAATATGCTTTATCTGTGACTGTGTCAATGTATTTAGATCTGCTTTTATTTAAATATTGGATGTAAATCATTGTTTGCATTTGGGAATTTTCTGATATAATATAAAATCTTTGTATAGCTGATAATCTCATGGCCCTTTCTCCCTAAGTGTAGGGCACATGATTAAGAAAGAGAATCAGGATATGGAAAAGGCTTTAGAATCAGATGATGGCCTAATTCCTCCTACCTAGAATGGGTATTTGTGGGTAATTGTTTGGGCCTGCTACTTTCTGAAAATATGGTGGGTATGGCATGTGTACACAGCTATCAAGGACAGAGTATAAAAACTCTGGGGACTGCTTTAAGATAAACACATTGATTAAGTTGAAGCATTCTGTTTTCATCATAATTTTATCATATTTTACTTCTCATCATACAGTGGTATCTACAAAGAAACTCTTAAGCACATTTTGTTCTTCAGTTAAATATGGAGGTCTGGTATCCAATGTGAATATTTCTCTGTCTTGTAAAATTCAGTATTGTATTTATGTGCAAACAGTGTAGCTGATTTTAGGATACATATGACAATACACTCTCAGATATCAGAGAGGAGATTTAAGCCCAAAATATCACAACTAAACTGAAAATATATTGAGAAATGGAAATACGACACTACTGTTTTTTGGATTTATATGTTCCACAGTGTACTTTCTGATTCAGAAGAAAAACAAAAATGACTGAAATTTTTTTTACTTATTATTAATTATACCCTTTGTCTTTTTATACTATTCTAAAACATGTAATTGGGTAATGCATTTTGGAAAAGATTGCAATATCATGTTTTAATACATTTTTCAATTGATGAGGTTTTCAAAGGGACAAATGGTAGTTGGGCATCTAGCTTCCATTGAAAGTCAATGAAAGTTAGCTACCTAATGCTGTGTATGCCTTTGAAAATCTTTCTCAATATGAATAAATGCATAAATCAAAATGAAGATTTAGAAAAAGTATGAAATTTAGTTCGGAGTCAGCTCTCTCTCCAGATCATCTTAGTTCGGGCATGTTTTCCCTTAGATGCAGATCACTAGAAGCTTTTTTAGTTTCTGGTTATTTCTAGGTATTGATGACCTATTTTCACTTCAGTTTGTCATTAGAAGACAAAGACTTACTACTCTCAGAACATTAATTACCTTTTTCATCACAGAGGATGTATATTTTGTTTCCATGTTTTACAGAATAAAGCAATTATGGAACGTGTAACAAACTTGTCAGATACGGTAGTTGGTCTTGAATCATTTATCGGCTCTGAGAGAGAAACCAATCCATTATACAAGGATTACCAGGGTAAGTTCCATCTTTAGCAATGCAAAAAGTCTGCATGGAGTGCTTCTAGGGCACTTAGCAGCTTACTCTCCTATTGGAGTATCTACTGTGAAGTAGCATTTGATTTCATTTTGGAATATACCTCTTAAATGTTACTCCTTGCTAACCAATCTTGAGTTAGGCAATTTTTCAGTAAAGTGCATTAAGGCTGCAAAGGAAACATGGCAACTCCTTGCATGTTGTCAAGCCATATTACTGGGGCATGGCTCAATCAGATGTACATCTCAACAGGCAGGCTTTGGGGAATTCACATGCAGGGGAGGCTTGGCAATCATCTGACCAGTGAGCTGAACTTGTCATGAAATCAATATTTCTGATCTGCCAAGTTTTAAATAGAGAACGTGAAAAAACATGATATATTTAAGCGAATGAACTGCTAAATGATGCAGTATGCAAAACTTTGTGTTTGAAGATGATAATTTACTGTTTACTGCTTTTAATTATGGCAATTCTTCCTTCAAAAGTATTGAGTATGGAAATTAGTGAAGGTAAAAATAAATATGAAACTAATTTTTGTAGAGAACCTTATTATTCCATCCAGTCTTTCTAGTGACTTATTTTCAACATGTGTAACAGTGTTTAATCATTGGGTTCAGTTAACAAAGATTTTATAAAAGTTTGGGTAGCAGAACTATTTAAATTCGGAAAGATTAGAAGATATGCATAGCCTAAGCAGTGAATAACAAACAGTTTTAGCTAATCCAGAGTGGTGATCTGTGTGCGCATAAATTACCGCTATTATTATTGTGATACTACTGTAGTTCCATGGAAACCTCTAGTCTAAAGACTGAACTGCTTATTTGAAGCCTGCTGTAAGCATGTGAAAATGTGGCAATGCTTTTCCATGCTAGAGCACAGAAAATGAAGCAGAAATGGTATTGAAGAACACTTTATACTACTGTATGTGTTCAGGCTGCAGTTTCATAAATCAGAGCAAACCTTTTTAAAAAAGAAAGAAAAGAAAAGAATGTACATTTGATTATTAGAAAAGAGTGGCTGAAAACATAAACAAAAGCTACTGCAAAAATAATTTGCCTATTGTATAGGCCCTATGTGGCATTTTTGCATTCTAATACAGTTCTGTTAATTTAATATAATAGAACTTATCTTAATAGTGAAGGAGGTCTTTAAGACAATATATGCCTTTCCTGTCCAGTATTTACTTTAAGAACTCATGTTAAATACTTTTGGTTTTTTGTCCCAATAAATAATACTAAACATAAAAGCTTTACTGGTTTTTATTTTCTTATAGGTACTCTTTATCTAAAACTCTAAAAATTGATCAGATTTTGCAGGATTGAAATTTTTCTAATTGTTTCAGGGTGTGGTTTCTTTTCCTGAAAATTTCTTTGTAAAAGATGCATTATTCACTGCGGATAACACAAGGCTCTGCCTATAGACAAAGTTCAATAGAATGTTTTGATGACATTGCTGTATTTATGAGTAAATCCTAAATTTATTTATTTTGTTTTAAAGCCTACAGTTTTGCATTAAACTTGTGAAAAGTAAGTAAAGATTGAAGGTTGTGCAGATATCCCTTTATTAAACGTGTATAATAATATTTTACAGTTCTGTTTTGCGGTGGAGCTGCTCTACCTGTACATTATGGTCACATTTTGAACTATGTAAATAATTCTTAGAATTCGGTAAATTGGAAAAAGAGGTTTTTGATTATTTTTATAACATTTTCCCAAGGATTTAGAAGACCCTTTTTAATAGGATAGTATTTGTAAAACTCTATTTAAAAGCGTATGAAACTTTTCCTCTTTATCTTATGTAATTCCACCTAAAAAAAGTAAAAATTTGAAAAATACCTCACACTGGTCTTAATTTGTTTCCTCACAGTAGCCATTTCAAGTGACATAGCTCTTCTAAATTAATGTATTATTGAATTTGCCTCTGCAATGTTTTCATGTAGACACTCTGAATTTGTGAATATCAAATGTAGGCCAGTAATTGAGAGCATTGTAGAATATTCTTAGTTTTCAACTGTGGAAAATGACCCCTAGGTTGTTCAGACACTGTGTTAGGCTGAACAAAAACCATCCAGCGTCCTTGTCAGAAAAAATCAGCTTGAGTTTCAACTGACGGAATGCAGAGCTCGCAGTGTACCTAGTATTGTTATAAAAAAATTAGAACAGCTATGTAAAGGTCTTGCATGTAGAAAATTCATTTTTGTTGGGATGATGCAGGGGTTAAAATTTATCAAAGAGTGTGCTCTAAAATGCTGTATACCACAACACTTTTAAAAGTCATTATCAAGGTGCAAAATGAAATACTTTTCATTACAGCTTCACTGGTTATCAGTAACCCATAAGCCTTGTTTTGCTGGCTGCTTACTGGTGCATTTAATAAAATAAAGATCACTCAGTGGTGCCGTGGGCAGCATGCAAGGTGATAGCCATATTTGCTTACTGTAAATACAAGAGAAAATCACACACAAACCGGCTGTAGTTTTGACAAGTATTAAGATCCCTCTTTACATCTGTACTTCTGTACCAAAATGCAATTAGTTTTCCTCGCACAAGGATTTCTGTTTATCTTATTCTGCTTGATTACATGAGTATAATCGCACCGTTTGCTTCATTGCTCCTGGTAGTAAGCTGCAGTTTAAAAAGGGGAGGATGAGTGTGTGTAAATATACAGAATTCTGCTGTAAGACTCTTTAATTTATGCATCTGGATGACAGCATTTTGTTACATTTTTTCCTCCTTTTACTTTTCCTTTCCGCAAGGTTTGATTCATGTGCACCAGATTCCTCGGCTTAATAGCTTGATCTGTGATGTGTCAGGCACGAAGGACCTTGCTTTTAGATTAAAAAGGAAGCAGTTCACCATTGAGGTAAGAGAAACAGTTTTGTTTCACTATTTAGAACCCGAAAGGTGGAGCAAGTCCTACCTTTTAGTTTTGCGAAATACGTTAACTTTTGTTACATGTTCATTTAATTGTGGTTCACCTATTTAGAATGGTTTTATAAAATATTATTTTAATATGCAGTCAAATTAAAAATAAGTCTCTCTAGCTGTACCAAATCAGATTATGCATAAACATTTTATTTTGTTTTAAAATGTATAGGAAGTAGGCCACAACCTTCAGTAACAAAGCATGACATACATATTTCTGAGGATGTTAGAAGCATGTTTAATTAAATGTTAATGACTTACTCTTACTTGTGTTAGTGAGTGGGAAAATAGCTACATGTTATTACCCCAGTTGAGGGACTTTAATGTATAATGCTGCCTAAAATTGTGTGTGACATGAGGGATAAGTGTCCTTATCAGTATTCAGAAACCATTTTCTTTGCATTACTGAAATCACCTTTAGCTCTTTTATGTCATTTTAAACACAGTATCACTTACTCTAATGTCCTTTAGTAAATTTTCTACCAAATTTAAACTTTTTTTCTCTGACCTTTATACAGACGGTCCTGATGGAAGGGAGTAATACAAAAGATGTATTTCATTTTAATCTTGCTAAAGAGCAAATGAACATAGAACTATTAAGCAATTAGAGTTGATATATTTATTAATGAACTAAATGTTCAGAGAAGGGAGATGGCTTTTTGGATGATATGATAGTCATTGGTACAGTCTGAGCTTTTTTTTTTTAACAGACATAAAACAGCCAAGCTGTCCTGACAAACCATTTTGTTTAATCTCTTTTCAAATGAAAAGCTCTTAAGCAAGCCACTTGTCTTAACTGCTTGAAACCATAAAAGAGAGAATTGCCACCAATAAATTAGCATATTTTTTACTTCATCACCAAATGATGGTCAATGTGGCTTGGCACTGCTTTGGTGTTTGGGACTTCACCCTTAAGTGACCACTTTGGCCCTTATTTGACCCTCTGCCCTCTTTAGCTGGCCACTTGATAAGGTAACTTGAGGGTTCTCTCCCTTTTTTTTTTGCCTTTTTTTTTTTTTGCTTTCTCTTCACAATTGTAAGTAGCCCTAACCTATAAATCATTGAAAGGGCCCTATCAAGTGACAAATTAAGGTGCCCTCCTCCTAATTAATGGTCATCAATGTCCTTAATTATCTAATCCTATTGAGAGTAGTTAATAGTTAATCGGTCAGCCAGTTCTTCATTCGGGTCATCTCTGCATGATAGCTAGAAGTTTCTCAACTGGAGATACTCCCTTCAAAAGCCACTTAAAGCCAAATGCATGAAGGAGACTGTTGGAGGGGACGGGGTTCAATTTCCCCCCACACACACACTTCTCAGAAAATACAGTTAAGGAATAAACCACCATAGTGGTTTAGACCATTTTAACATAATTTCACTTTATCAAAAGACTATTAGGTTTTTTTGAATCAGTCCTAGATTCATGCCAGGTTTTAGACATAAGCTATAATTCTTTTCAGTAACACAAGCAAATATGCACTATTATTTTCTACTATATTAAATTCACATTTACTTTATCTATTAATTGAAATATTTTGAATTTTTCTCGCCTGGATCAGAAGATGATTCTTCTGTCCGCAAGATCTAAGGTTACCACTTTCTATTGCTGTAAAAACCAAATCAGGAGGCTCTGTATAAAGAATTTCATTAGCCAAGGGACAAAAGAGTTTGAATCAGGGGTGTTATGGAACCCTTGGAAAAAAACTGTTGCTGTAGAGATCGGTAGATGACCCACTTGAATAATTTCAACACTCATTGTTCAGATAGGGGCCCCTTTTGAATAATTTCAGTTCTTGATGGGGATAAACTTTTTGCAAACCAAGTTGAGGCAAGTCAGTCCTCTTTGAACAACTTAGACCATTATTCTTCTGTGATATGCCTCTACCCATTGCACCAAGCTACAATCCATATAAGCTTCTCTTCTTCCCTATATTAGAAGGAGCAGGCCAAGCACAGCTTGACTGACCAGAGTAGCTTTGGAAGGCAAGTCACTTTTGAAAAAGAAAAAATAAATTGATGAAAAAAGTAGGATCTGGATAGAATCACTCAAAACTGGATACTACAGTTAAAATGTAATGTGTCAGCAGTCAATTCCAAATCCTTTGGCAAAAACAAAAGGTAGCAAACAATGTGCTTTACAAGCAATATCGCAGCTTTACAAAAACAAAATAAACTTTAAAGAGTTAAGGACATTTGTAGAGTCTAGTTTGGTAGAATTAGAAATGAGAATATATATTTAAATACATTACAGTTTTAGACAATATGAAAGTAGCTGTGAAAAGTATGTTAAACATATCTGGGAAGGTGATGTTGAACTCTAACTGAGTGTATCTTTAAAACCAGATTATAAATGCTGAGGTAGGGAAGCACAACATGTGACTTGTGACAAAATTGCTTCAAGGAAGTTTTCATCACTAGACTACTGCTTCTCAAGTGGCAACATTTGTAATGTGTGCAGTGAAGGAGGCCCCTTTATCTCCTCAAAAAAAGCTGTCCAACTTCCTATTTCATCACAGTGTCAACTTTTAAAGTCCCTAATGGGCCACAGACTTGCTTTTCACATCAATAAACTTAACTACCTATAGTTTGCCCCTCAATAAAAAAGCTTAGATCGATGTCACAAATTTTTAATAGAATTAATTATTTCTAAGAGGACAGTAACACTTTATACAGCTTAGTACAGTTAGCTTTGTTAAAGTTTTTATATATGAAAATTTACCTAAGATATCTTTTATGAGTTTCTGTTTTTTGTAAAAATTACATAGATTAAAAAGTATTCCATGGGGGGAGTACTTTTTTGTGTTGAAGATGGATACATTTGTTCACCTTTTAAAATACATACTCTGAGTGTTCTTATGGATTTACATATTTCATTTTTAAAATATTTGGCTTAACTATTTGCAGGAAAGCTATATTTGATAAGAGTTAGAACAGTTGTATTTATCTTTCCCAAAAACCTTTACTTGTTGCCATATTTAAACATGGCAAAATAGACATATCTAATGTGCATACCACTTTAAAGGACAAAATTTTGAAGTTAGCCTGTCTAATCCTATTTCTTCCCACTTTGGAATCTTAATTAGAAGGAGATAAAAACCATTTGACTAAATTATTGTCTTGAATCTGTAGCAAAAGGTATAATCCGCAATTGGGCCAATTAGTGTACCCCATAGTTAGCTATGCTGAGGCAGGCAACTTGATTAGATCTGACACCAGCCTAGTTCCCACTGTTGTTTTGCCAGGTATGATGGTCAGACTTCAAAGGGCTTGAGGCATCAGCAGGGCAAGGTTTGGAGGCCAGCTTAGGTCCGGTCGTTAATCTCTCTGCTAAAACCACAGCAGCCCTCGCACAAAACAAGCTTACACGACACAATCATGCGGTATTAAAGTTTAGGTTGAGTCATGCCAATTTGCCTTTGATTTTCTGATGATTGACTAAAAGATGGCTACATGACTAGACACACACTAAAAGTTTACTCATTAGGTAAGTTCCCCAAATATTTGAAATATTTTTTGATTTCTCAGTTAAATGTATGACAGCCTTATTCATCTTAATTAAACTTTCCAGGCTAGTGTTTAAATACCTTTTTTTTTGTGTATAACTGAGTGTAACTTGTATCAGCATTTGTTAGATTTTCACTTATAACGTGCCTCTCACCTTCTTCATAGTTTTTCTTGGTGTAACCACTTCCTTGTCATTCTAAAAGCCCTTTGTACCAAAAATATTAAAGAAAACTGTTTCTAAATGACAAGCTTTTGAAATCCTACAGACCTTTAAGGAAACTTTTTTTCTTACAGTAATTTATGTTCACTTACACTTTATTCACATAAAGAGAATTTCTTCATAATTTTTTTCCATTTAAATGTTGAGTAAAGAGCTGTTCTACCAATGTGATTACATAAGTGTTCCTTTCTTTTGCATTCTGATTTGTTGAAATATTGCGGTAACAGTGACATGTTTCCATTCTGAGAAAAGCCTAGGGCTGCTTTAGTATTATTCCAAATGATTGAAATTGCCATCTTGCTGACTTTCCCTTAGGCGGCTTAAGGCCTGTTTACTTTAGTATTTATTTCGCATGTTCCCTCTGAGTTTGGCTGGCAGGACATCATTACCTGGTTTGATAAGACAGTTGGAATAAGATTCTTATTCTTTTGTTATTGTGTGGTGGTCATAAACTCCTACTATTATATTGTTAAAGTTAATCATTTAAGAAATTCAGAGAAATGTTTAGAGATGAGAAACTTCATACAAATAATCTTTTAAATTACTCCTGTTTTGTTATACACCTGATTTTTTTTTTAAAGTCTTCAGATCATGGCCATTTAGTAGATTTATAAGATAATATTTGTTCCTTTATTGTGCAAATTTTGTCTAAGAATATTTACAATTGTTGTGGAAAAAATAGATTATTATTAGTTGCAAACACTCTGTATTCAGACCGGTACAAATAGGAAAAATAATTAATAAAATCTTAGCTTTAAAGGTTGTATAGTACGTGCACAAGCTAGAGGATAAACTTTAGATCCTGTGTGCAAGACAATTCTGTTTGAAGCCCAGTATCATAGCTGTGCTGCAATTCCACATATAGCCTAATAGTAGTGAGTTTCCTGAACTCAAGTCACATCTCTCAAAGGTGTTCCGTAAGGGAAGGAGAGGAAAATATAGAAAAGAATTAGAATTAGAGTACTCTTCTGGCAGTAAAGTAGCTACTATCTCAATGGCAGACATTTACAGACTGTACTCTGAAGCACTCTGCATCAGTTGTGCATTCTTTTAATGTCATATCCATTGCTTCCAAAGGAAAAAGCTATGAATTTAGGAGAGAGTCTAGTAAGTAGTGTGTGTGTGTGTGTGTGTGTGTGTGTGTGTGTGTGTGTGTGTGTGTGTAATAAATATGTGAGTTCCCTACTGCAATCAAAATAATGGACTTTCTTTTT